ACAAAATAACCTGTGTATGACAATTTATTTAATTAATTTGAGTATAATTATTGAAGGTTAAAAGTTGGCCCACTTTACCTGAATTCCAAAGTGGGCCAGCAATATTTAAACACCTTACAAGAAAACAAACAAAAAAAAAAGTAAAGTTATTCTTTGCATTTGATTCCCTGGTAACTGTAGTAACAAACAAAACAAGAACTGTCACAATAATATTTGTTTACATTTACTGAGCAACCAAATAAAGCAGTAAGCCCCGTGAAGCCGTGGTTTACAGTGAATTTATAACAGCTAAGGGGCGTTGTTAGGCACGAGCTGTTATAAATTCACTGTAAACCAAGGCTTCACGGGGCTTATTGCTTTTATAAAACGGTTATTCCATATACGTAGTAAGTTTTCACAAATTAAAACAGAGCAAATAAAGTGTAATTATTTAAATAAAAACAGTATTCTTCAGCCAAACAATGTAGTTCCTCAGAAACAGGTGTGGTTCCAACAAAGTGCTTGCCGAGCAACACAGAAATGTAAACAAAGGTGTATGTTTGTAGAGTAATTTACAACGGCTTTGAACTTGGCTCAACCAATCAGAATCAAGGACCGGAACTCTCCGTTTTATAACACTTATTTAGAACACCTTGAATGTTAATGCAATTTAGTGCAATACAATATTGGAGGTGTGTAATATTTATTGTATAATGTATTCAAATCAGTTTCTGCGAATAATCCCAGAGATATGTTGATGTTTCATATTTCCTGCTTAATATTACATACATAGAGTATTCAATAGGCACACACATCTAAACAACTTATACGTAACACTTACCAAGCGCAAACTGACACTATATATTACGGACGTCAACAATAACAATTAATTTACAAATGAATCCTGCATGCTCCGACTGATACACTGCATTGGCTCAATAAGTCAAACGAATGCACTAATATGTACAAATATATTCGAAATGTATTGAATACAGTTTCGATGCAATCCTCTCCTATTTTAAAGAAAGGAGAAAACCAACATAATGTGTAAGAAAGATATTTTATTGATGTTGCGGCAGTCCTCTGTAATACCATCAGTTGATATTTAAGAGATGCTGAGCTTCGGTGGGAGTGAAAACCATCAGACTGCAAATAAATTAGCCAATTTCTACATTAACAGAAAAATGAGATCCAGACTCTTCCTGCTTTGACTATGAATTAATTCGCCTCATTTAGCCGCCAGGACATTACAATACAATATCTGAGGGCAAACTGTTGTTCTGGAATCACATTTCTGTGATATTTAGTAACTGGGGAGGAATCTAAACCAAGAACTAAGAAATGAAGAAATAGTTGAATTCTTGTATAAATGCAGGAGAAGGCTTTGGATTGGCTTGAAGTTGTCTCGAAATGCACACCTCGCTACCTATTGATGCCCACTCTCTTCTGGAAGCCATCACCATCTCTCTTAGTGGCTTGCTGTGTGAGAAACAAGAAGAAATGATGACGATTTGAAATATTTTTCCTATTCACAGAAAGGTTCCGTAAGACATGCACCTTGTTGATTTCCTTGTGTCGCTCCTTGCTGACAATTTCTTCTAAGATTTCCCCATCGCCTCGTACGAGCCTGCATGAAAGTTCATCACGTTAACGTTTCATTGTCTTGTGGATGGAGCAGGCTGATGGAAACTTACCTGGTTCGCCCCGTCTCGGGGTCCAGGACCCGGCGGATGATGCTTTGCCTGGCCTCATAGTCTTCTTTTGTCATTGGTCTCTTGGTGCAATGTCTGGCCTTCTGTTCATCAGTCATGACTACAGCGAGAGAGAAATTACGTTTTATCTCCAGCAAACAAATTCTGATATTCTGTTACACCAAATACACAAAATAATGATCTTTAAAATAGCATCATATGACCCCTTTAAACTAAATATTGGATGTAACTCGTGTATTTCTGTGCACATACCAGGGCCGTGTTCTTTAGCTTCTTCACACTGCCAGGTCTTCAGGTGTGATTGAGGAGTTTCATCAGAAGCAGCAGCAGCTGTTGATACCGAAGCTGCTGCTCTTTCAGCTTTCAATGCTAGCTTCTTTTGCCGTTTCTTTTCCTTTTTCTCCTTCTTCTTTTCGCGCTTCAGTTTCTGTTTCTTTTTCTTCCTGGCCTTTTTTTCTCTGGATGGGGAAGCGGAGCCGGAAGATGATGAAGAGCTGGATGGACTTCTCCTTTTCTTCTTTTTCCTCTCTAATTTCGGATCAGAAGTTGGGAGACTTCTATTATACGTACGTGTAGTGTCGCCACAAATACAGTATATACAGTAATTTATGAATACACAATGCCTTCTGTTGTCTGATTGACAGTTCATACACTTTCTCTTACGTTCATGTTTCTTCTGAGGGCTTGGACTGGATCTCCTGGCGCTTGATGATGACAAGCTCCTGGATTTGCTCTCATCTCTGTGTCTGCTCTTAGATCTGCTATCAGCATCACTCCCTCCCATGAGTAATAATCTACTTGTGAAGCAGACAGGAAAGTAGTCCTGTTTTGTTACTGTTTTAAAGCAGTATGATCTTATTAAATACGCAAATGCAATTATCAAAGTGCAGATTAAAAACAACATAATAGTGCAATGTATACCAAATATAGAATGCTGGTAACACTTTACCATGAAGTAAAATTAGTTAATATTATCTAATGCATTAGTTATCATAGGCTAACAATGAACACTCCTTTACAGCATTTATTATTCAGCACACGTTCATTTCATTGCCCATGTGAACAGATTACTGAAAGTGCACTAGTTTTGCAGTTTACATATTTGCATGGAAGCCTATTACACCATGGGATAAAAAATAGAAAAGGTAATTGCAATTTTTTATTTTTTTTATCTCACAATCAACTTTTTTTCTTGCAATTGAGGGAAACACACACACACACACACACACACAATTTGACAGTGATTTCACATTTCTTGTTTGTATGAAGGCTAAATACAAATAAAAGGTGAACATTAATTTATTTGTGCTGTTTTTTTTCTCTAAAGTATTATATGGTTTTATATGAGGTGTCATAGACTTGGCAAATTAATTTTTCATAAGTTTGTATGCACAGACATCTGTTGTGGGCGTTCTTGGCAGTTTATACAAGGTTTTTTTTAAATAGTGTTCATATCGATATCGGAATTATATCGTATCGACCGAAATTAAGAAATATATCGTGATATCAATTTTGGCCATATCGTCCAGCCCTAGTTGAACATGTTGTCACTTTTTTCTACGTTACTAGTCTGTCATCTTAACCGGGAAACCGACAGAGGCAGAGTCAAAAAGTAACTTTTCTTTGTTTACATCTCAAGACAAGTCTTAGTCACGTGACTCTGAAGACTGGAGTAATGATGCTGAAAATTCAGCTTTGATCACAGCAATAAATTACATTTTAAAGTATATTAAAACCGAAAACCAGTATTTCTCATCAAATCAATGCAGCCTTGATGAGCAGAAGAGACTTAAAAACAAAAACAAAAAAAACATTACAAATCTTGCTGATCCCAAACTTTTGAACGGCAGTGTATATCAACAATTTACTGATCAGTCCATGTACTCGTTCCTGAGATGTGGGGCGGAGCCAAACGTGTAGCCACACCCACTGATCTATCAGTAGACACGCCCCAAACGCAGCTCCGCCCGGTTCTGTTACACGAGTTCAGTATTCAGCAATTTTCTAAGCGACCCCTCACATTATTAAATATAGCCTATTGCATCTGGTTACAAGAAACCACTTAATTAAGAAAAACACTCGTGAATATGAACTATCATTCCTGGCAAAGGAAAATTAAAGTTCAGTAAAGCATTTTCTTGCTGGTTTAACCGATGCTTCCTTTGCACTGCCACCTATCGTTTCGGAGATTAATGCAACTGCGCGAACGTGGCGGGTTATAAACTCGGCTAGCGTTTGGGGAGAAGGGGTCACCAAACTCGGTCCTGGACGGCCAGTGTCCTGCAGAGTTTAGCTCCAACACACCTTTCTAGCATGCCTAGCAAGATCTTGATTAGCTGGTTCAGGTGTGTTTGATCAGGGTTGAAGCTGAACTCTCCAGGACCGAGTTTGGAGACCCCTGATCTACAGCATAAACAAGGCTTCAGAACCGCAGTGCACTGAATTTGAGACAGACCCCGAGCTGCAGGCGTGCGGAGAGCTACATCTCTTCCGGGTCTCTAACGTTACTTATCTGATATCAAATGACGCCAGCACATGCTTCATCTTACTTATAGTGACTCAGTAAATGTCGCCAATTAATACTTACTCGTTCACCAATCCAGAATGTTTTCTTTCTGCTTTGTAAGAGCTTTAAATCAGGAGAAAGCTGTACGTGTGCACTCTGCAGTCACATGAAACAAACAACAGCATGCCGGAAATCCGTTTTCGTCCGTTTTTCAAAATAAAAGACCTCGTGCTTTCTTTTAAATAAATAAATACAAATATAACTAAATAAATAGACAGATGTTTTAAATAACTATATATTCTATAATATGCTTTAAATTTACATTTATGCGGACGCATTTATCCAAAGTGACTTACAATGCATTCAGCGCCATGCTCTGCTATTTGAACTAAAGGAAAAAAAATACCAATAAAATCCATATTCATAAAATAAATAAAAATACAACCTAGATTTTAACCAAAACTTAATGTAGCGATTCAAATATAAACAGGCTCACAGGATTCAAATAAAACATCAGTTCACATATGATACATTTATTGTAGTGCTTGAAAGGCATTACATGTTAGTATGCAAATCAATTATGATTTCAACAACAGCATACAGCTTTAAAAAAAGCACCAACTTGGCTAGATTTAGCCAAATTATCTCTCCTTTTCTAAGAGGTTCTGTATGTCCCTATCCACTGCTCCTTTACCATCACTCTTTGCACCCTCAAGAGGCCAGATAAAGGGGGAATAATAATAAAAAAAGAAGCAGTGATGGATCAGTTCAGTCACAAACACCCCTAAATGAATAGACTGTTGTTGTAAAGGTTATTTGGTCAGTTATCTTGCATGCCGACTCACAAGTATTGGACATGCGACTGCAAGAACACAAGGTAAAAGCAACCACACGGTCTAAACACTGACTGCAGTTGATGTAGAACATTGCTTAAGTGTTTCTTGTTAATAAATATGCTTCAGAAATGTCTGGCAATCTCCTATTGTAATACTGAAACATACAGAGAGCTGAAAAAGCAAAGCTGTAACAGTGTAGAAACAAAAGTGAAAGTGTTTAAAGCTTGGCCGGGTAACTGAAAAAAACACACTATCTGAATGAAAAAGCACATTCATTTTCTCAAACCTTTAAATATATTTAACTAGACTATAATGGGACTCAAAAATAGCCATTCAAAATATTGATTTTCCACCACGAGCCCCTCAAAGTGAAGTTATGTTATGAGGACGCTGCCATCCGAACTCGCTGAGGGGGGGTTAAAATCACGCTTTTCGCTGCCTTGATTGTGTTTTTCATCAGCATGGCTACAGTCATGGGTCCAACACCGCCTGGAACTGGAGTAATGTAGCTGGCCTTCTTTCTAACGCCTGTGGAGACGTCAACAGTCATGTCAAAAAAACTAGACGAGTAAACCTTGATGTTAGCGCGACAAAGCCTTGTCTGAAAAGTTGAAATCGCTTTGAAAATCTTGTTTTGAAAGTTTCTCTGAGAAGTGCAATATAGCAGATATGTTTTCGCGTGCTTCTTTTGCTAGCATGATTTTGAACGCTGCTACTATGTTTCTAGCATGAACTGGCACATTACTAGCATGTTTAAACACGCTGCTAGCATGATTTTGAACGTTGCTAATACGTTTCTAGCATGAACTGGCACATTACTAGCATGTTTAAACACGCTCACATGATTTAGCACGTTGCTAGCATGTGATTTAATATGTTGTTAGTTTCTAACATTAACACATTGCTAACATGTTGCTATCATGATTTAACACATTGCTCACATGATTTAGCACGTTGCTAGAATGTTCCTAGCATTTGATTTAATATGTTGTTAGTTTCTAACATTAACGCATTGCTAACATGTTGCTAGCATGATTTAACATTGTTAACATGATTTAGCACAATGCTAGCATGTTTCTAGATTTAACATGTTGTTAGCATGTTTCTAACATTAGCTCATTGCTAACACGTTTTTAGCATGATTTAACACGTTAACATATTTTAACATGTTGCTAGCATGATTTAACATAGCTAACATGTTTCTAAATTTAAGACATTGTTAGCATGTTTCTAACATTAGCTCATCGCTAACATGATTAACACGTTGCTAGCTGATTTCTAACATTAATTAGTACATTGCTAACATGTTTCTAGATTTAACAAGTTGTTAGCATGTTTCTAACATTAGCCTATTGCTAACACGTTTCTAACATGATTGACATAGCTAACATGTTTCTAAATGTAAGACATTGTTAGCATGTTTCTAACATTAGCTCATTGCTAACATGTTTCTAACATGATTTAACACGTTGCTAGCTGATTTCTAACACGAATTAGTACATTGCTAACATGTTTTGGCACATTGCTAGCATGTTTCTAACATTAGCCTATTGCTAACACGTTTCTAACATGATTTAACGTTGTTAGCATGTTTCTAACATTAACACACTGTTAACATGTTTACAGCACGACGTAACACGTTGTTAGCATGCTTCCAACACGGATTAGCACATTGCTAGCATGTTTAACACATTGCAAGCATGTTTCTAACACACTGTTGTTAACATTTCTAACATGATTTACCATATCGCTAACATGTTTCAGCACATTGCTAACATGATTTACCATGTTGTTAAGATGTTTCTAGCATAATTTAACACTGCTAGCATGTCTTAGCATGTAACACGTTTCTAGCTGATTTCTAACATTAATTAGTACATTGCTAACATGTTTTAGCACATTGCTAGCATGTTTCTAACATTAGCCTATTGCTAACACGTTTCTAACATGATTTAACGTTGTTAGCATTTTTCTAACATTAACACACTGTTAACATGTTTATAGCACGACTTAACACGTTGTTAGCATGCTTCTAACACTGATTAGCACATTGCTAGCATGTTTCTAACACAATGTTGCTAACATTTCTAACATGATTTACCATATTGTCAACATGTTTCAGCACATTGCTAACATGATTTACCATGTTATTAGATGTTTCTAGCATAATTTAACACTGCTAGCATGTCTTAGCATGTAACTAGCATGATTTAACACTTATCAATGTAAGTCGAAGGGAAATTTTCAAACAAAAATCTTAAAATTCCTTAATTAAAGGCCAAAAGAAACGGCTACTGAAAACAGACTCCCAAGACACGGTTCAGGCTGAACTAAAAGCAGAAAATCTTTAGAAATGATATACAATATTATAAACTATATACGGTAAATAAAGTGCAAGTACAAAGATTATTTTAACCAAGATTTTCAGAAAGGCTTTTATTACACGAATCACACTTCTAGTTCCTTCCTCCTCACCTTCAAAGTCCACGTCACCAACAAGTCTGTTTTTCCCAGTCAAGGGGTCCAATATTCTGTTGATGCCAACATCTATAACAGCTGCACCCTCCTTTATCATATCAGCAGTGATGAGGTTGGGAATACCTGAAGGGAGGTAATAGTGTTTGTGAATCTTGGTCCCTGTGAGCACCACCCAGTAATAACAGACATAGCGGTAAACATGCATGAAATGGACATTACAAATAGAAATTCAAACCTGCAGCAGCGACGATAATGTCTGCGATCTGTGTGTGCTGACGGAGCTGCTCTTTGGGAGTGTAACGGTGGGAGATAGTCACTGTGGCATCACCTAAAATCAAAAGAGGCAGGACACGTTACACAAATTGCCTTGTAGGATCAAAGCTCATCAGAACTGCACACAAATACTTCCGCTTTGCTTCTCCTCTCCACACACAGACTCACCTCCTGGCCTTTCATGTCTGCCGTCTGTGTGCAGCAGCATTGCAATGGGCATCCCAACATTCTTGGAGCGACCAGCCACCACCACATTCTTACCCAGCGTCTGTATGCCTATGAGACAAGACCGGTTCAGTCAGCATCATCTGACATGATCAATACAAATACAACAAGATGGTTGTTGGCTGTGTAAGATTGCCACCACAATGCCAGGGTGTTACGCTGATGTTGCTAAAGTGTTCTAGATCAGGGGTTCACAAACTTTTTGTCAGCCGAACCTTTTACACGTAAACTATTTACTTGAAACACTCCCTTAGATTTTAAGGCAATAATTTTCATTGATAGAACATCTTTGCATATTAACGGTTCACTGATGTTGGTCAGATAAAATATTTATTTTTTCAGTAAATGTTTTATTTTGATTGCTTTTTTATTTCATATTTATATATAGGGTTGCACAACGTCATACATGGAGATTTTAACAGCGATATTACATTTCAAATGAAAACGTCTCGTATTGCTGCTGCCGAAACCAACTAAGACCTCTTATTTCCATTGTGTTTTAAATTCAATTATACATTCATGTAAAATAAAAAAAAGAATATTAAATATTTAAAAAAATAACTTTATTCTACACTACGAGTTACCGATATCGATGTCTTAAATTCTTTACATTCAAACATTCAAACCCTTGAGCTTTTAGCTATTTATTTTGATTTAATACAGTTGAAATTCTGTCAACTTCTGTTCACAAAATGTTGGAAATTATGCAAATCTGTAAATAAACCAAGCACACATGCAGAGCTGAGATGGAGTTTGTGCGAAGCAGAATTTACTGTGAAGTGAGCCGCTTTGAAACAGACTATACTTATTTAATTAAATTGCAGCCTTTTATTTATTTTTAATTTATTTTGATCAACTGTGCCTTCACGAACCCTCAGTTTTGGAAACTCTGTCCTAGATGGTTGTTTACTGTCTCAAGTTTCTACGATTATTGAAGTCTCCTTTAATTCAGGTCTATGGGATTTGTTCACCAATTTTAGTATCCACCAGCTGAAAATAATATTTATTTTTATTTATTTATGTTTTAATGCCATATCAGTAACAGTGAATAACAATATCATTTCAATACATCATTTAGAAAAATATACAATTTTCTCAAGAAACAATCATTATACAAAAACATACAAGAAACAACAATAGTACTGATTAAAATCCTATATTTATTTATTTTAATTAATCAGTGATAAAAATTCTAAAATTCTTCAAGGAGAGACTTTAAAAAAAAATATCTGAATAATATCATTGTCTAATATCATTTAAAATCGGACATTCTATTAAAATATGTTTTACACTCAAAAAAATTCGTACACTTCTCATTTCAATAAATATGAAGCGAGTCATCTTGAATGTCCAATACGACATCTCTTGTATATATACACAACCTGGTTATATCTATTTTCAAAACAGTAATTACTTCTTTAATTTAATGCTGGATACTGATTGCTTAGAAAAGTAATACCTGTCCTCAACAACTTGAGGCATCATTAAATCCCATAACCCTGAGTTATGCAATGTCAATGTCTAACAGGGTTTCTCACCTGTGCGTTTGATAATCTCCCAAACCCCCCATGGAGTGGCAGGCAGCATAGTTGACTGATCCAGGCACATGCGGCCAACATTGACCACATGGAAACCATCAACATCTTTCCCTGGGCACACGGCATTGCATACGCGTCGCTCATCGATGTGATCTGTGTACGAGAGGGAACAGTATTATAATAAGATGTTAGAAGTCTTTTTTTCATGTTTTGAAGTGAATCTCTGCGTTTTTCTTTTATTTGGTTGTGGTCCCTTTAAGAATCATAAGTTTCAGTAAGGAGTTACGCCCAAAAATGGTTTTAAATGACCATCAAGTCTAAAATTCAGCTTTAAGCCTAATGCAATTACTTTTAAAACACCGTTCACAGCACTGACGATGTAAAATGTAAAATGTCCATCAACTAAAGAGACACTAGATCAGCACAGCTATGGCTCTTCTGTTAACCTACCAGGAAGAGGTAGCTGTACCAGAAGACCGTCTACTCTGTGGTCCGAGTTGAGTTTCTCGATGAGGTCAAGCAGCTCCTCTTCACAGACGCTAGAAGGTTTCAGGATGGTCTCGCTACTAATACCTACAGAGAATAAGAGAGAACTGTGATACAACCGAATGTAGCACAAAGATAAATAAGGGCAAAACTAATACTTCAAAAACACTGAAGAAAATATATAGGTATTATATATGTATTTATAAGTAGTATTTATTCCAATAGGCCCCAAAGTGCCTCTCTAGTTAGAGTTGCTTGTGTGAGTTGAGTAGAGCCAGAGTGTGAGATCCTGTAAGGAATCATATGAACACTCAAAATAGATTTACATACTGTACACAGCCAACAGTGCAAAGTGACACCCATCGCTTACATTACTACAGCAATACTGAAGACAACTACAGACTCATGGCTGCTTTTCATTCACTATCCAGTCCAATTCATCCATTTCACAATTAAAAAAAAAAAAAGTAATTGAAATTTTAGTTTTGTAAAGAAATTAATATACAAGCATAATATCTACAAAAGTCATATAAAGAATTTAAGCTTTAAAGGCGTAGTTCACCCATTATGTCATCATTTACTCACCCTCATGTTGTTTCAAGCCCGTAAGACTCGTCAAAACATGAATGAGGATATTTTTAATGAAACCCAAGAGATTTCTGTCCTTCCACTCAAAGTCCACACAACCCAAACTTTGATGAATCCAAAGTTCATAAAAAGATTTTAACCTTAATCCATATTAATTGAGTGGTTCAATCAAGATACACAATCACTTCTTATGATGAGCAGATTTAATTTAGGCTTTTATTCATATATAAACGTTGATCAGGACACACGGAGCACATCAAATATGGTTATCAGAAGTTTGCGCTGTCGTCTATCATATGTGATGTGCTCAATGTCTCCTCAGAAGAGTTGAATTAAACCATTTGATTGATTTAAAATGACATTTACGTTTTTATGAACTTTTGGAAGCGTCAAGTATCAGTGGAACGGACAATAAATAGAAGGACAGGAATCTCTACGGTTTCATTAAAAATATCTTCATTTGTGTTTTGAAGATGAATGAAAGTCTTTGATCGGCGAGGAACGGGTTTTGGGTGAACTAACCCTTTAGTCCTTTACATCAGGGGTGTCAGACTCAATTCCTGGAGGACCGGAGCCCTGCAGAGTTTTGCTTCAACACACACACACACACACACACACACCATGTAGTTTTCAAATAAGCCTGAAGGACTTTATTAGTTGGTTCAGGTGTTTAATTAGGGTTGGATCTAAACTCTGCAGGGCTCTGGCCCTCCACACTGGGTTAAATGCTGGGTTAAATATAACCCAGCGCTGGGTTATATTTAACCCAGCATTTATTTTAGAGTGCAGGAATTGAGTTTGACACCCCTGCTTTACATCAAAATGTTAAAGGGGACGCCGGATGCCCATTTTCCACAAGTTGGTACGAGTCTTTAGGGTCTTCATGAAATGTCTGTAACACACTTTGGTTAAAATTCCTCAATGGCCGTGTAAAACAACACCCTTTTTACCTCGTCAAAAACAGCTCTGTTCACAGTTTCGGTGCATGTCTCTTTAAATGATAATGAGCTACTGATAACTCCACCCCTCTCTTCTGAGGGGCGTCGACACAAGACATGCGAATTGCAGCCTTGGACTCCATATATGGCTCGAAGTTGGTCTTATTCAAAGAGCTAGCTATCTACATAGAAAACAGCTGCATATTGAAACAGCTCGCTGGATGACAGTTTCAGACTCAGACAGCCTATAAACTGGCTGCGTGTTTCTTTTCAGCTTTTCTGAGCTGGCAGACACGCCTAACTAAATGCAAAAAAAGTGACTATTTCATCCAATGTCCCCTTTAAGAATTCAGCATTTTAACTGGTAGATTTGCCTCATTTCACTTCAGTGAGCCGTGAAGCACAAAGGCTTTTCTGTCTGGTGCTGGGCTTGAACGTGTCTTACCCACTTCTGCTGCTGCACGGGTCTTATTGACATATATACACACACACACACACACAGGTTTGTTTTTATGGTTTACGGGGACTCTCCATAGGTGTAATGGTTTTTCAACTGTACAAACTGTATTTTCTATTGTATTTATTTTAGAGTGCAGGAATTGAGTTTGACACCCCTGCTTTACATCAAAATGTTAAAGGGGACGCCGGATGCCCATTTTCCACAAGTTGGTACGAGTCTTTAGGGTCTTCATGAAATGTCTGTAACACACTTTGGTTAAAATTCCTCAATGGCCGTGTAAAACAACACCCTTTTTACCTCGTCAAAAACAGCTCTGTTCACAGTTTCGGTGCATGTCTCTTTAAATGATAATGAGCTACTGATAACTCCACCCCTCTCTTCTGAGGGGCGTCGACACAAGACATGCGAATTGCAGCCTTGGACTCCATATATGGCTCGAAGTTGGTCTTATTCAAAGAGCTAGCTATCTACATAGAAAACAGCTGCATATTGAAACAGCTCGCTGGATGACAGTTTCAGACTCAGACAGCCTATAAACTGGCTGCGTGTTTCTTTTCAGCTTTTCTGAGCTGGCAGACACGCCTAACTAAATGCAAAAAAAGTGACTATTTCATCCAATGTCCCCTTTAAGAATTCAGCATTTTAACTGGTAGATTTGCCTCATTTCACTTCAGTGAGCCGTGAAGCACAAAGGCTTTTCTGTCTGGTGCTGGGCTTGAACGTGTCTTACCCACTTCTGCTGCTGCACGGGTCTTATTGAGAACGTACGAGTGACTGGCTGGATTGTCACCCACTAACACCACACTCAGGTGAGGCCGTCGGTTTCCAACAGAGACCCACTCCTCCACGTCATCACGCGCCTCGTTGCGGATCTGCCGTGCCAGTTTCCTGCCCGAGATGATCACAGCCTCTGGTCTAAAAAGTAAAACATTGAGGATTGGAGGGCAAAAATGTCACTGCAAATCTGCTTCTGCTCTGGATAACTTTGAACCCAAATAAGTATGGAAAAATACGTTTTTTTCTGTGGAATTTATCTGTTAACCAGATACCTACAAGTGACACGGAGTCATAGCTGCTGTCTAATGATAAGCTCTGTGCTGGTGTGATAGAATACGGTCTAAATGAAGACATATGGAGAGGAACTAAGATAACAGGCCACTTTGAAGAATGTCAGAGCCCACCTTATTTGTAAGGTGCTTTGGAGAAAAGCATTTTCTAAATGATTCATGTAAATGTAGGGGGCCTTGATTGTATGGCAACAAAAACATCATTTTTAAAGAGCATTGTAAGTTAAGACATATGGAAAATATAAACAGTCCATGCAAATTTAGTATGAACATCTTTACCATTCTCAGCATTCATTTACACGCAAAAGTGTTCACGTTCCTCCCTTTACTGATGTGATCATTTTTTAGTTATGATGATCATATGTGTTCATTTTCAGATGCAAGGCTGTAAAACATTACAAATTGTGTGCTTCTTTTATCTAGCATTTTTCTTTATTCAGAAGACAACAGCGAAGGTTATGGGTTCAAATCCCAGAGAATGCTTGAACTGATAAAATGCATGCAATCCATGTCGATTTGAGGTAAATGTAAACAATAAATGGCTGAACAACTGTTAAATGCGGAAGATTTAAAAAGCTACTCATTGTTTTCACGACTTTTCTCATGATCTCGACATAAAATTTGTTTTTCCGTGATAATTCAGTCGTGTGACCAAAGTGATTTCGAGTGGTTTAGTTTTACACACACACACACACACACACACACACATATATATATATAGGCCTGTGTATGCATGCATGCATGCACGTAAACTGATATGTTTCTTTTTTCTTTTCCTTTTTGAGACTTTATTTTTCACAGGAAAAAAAAACGTTTAATGCATGTCTGCGGCTTAACTGAAGACGTTTCAGTCATGCGCGGAAAATGTAGTCAGCACCGCTAAATGAATCAATCACTGTGCACGCGGGGCTTAGATGAAAACAAGTATGTGCTGCATTTGAGCAATCATGCATAACGATCACCACAAATCATGAGAGAGGAAACCCAACACATGAGCACTGAGATCAGCAGAGACGCAAGCGCTTGATGACATTACATCAGCCGCGGAGCTCCGGGAGCCGAGCAGTTAACCCGGCGTTTGTTACATAACTGAAACATCCAGAGAGGAAGTCGCAAATGGCATGCTGTTATAAAGCAACTAAGTGCAATAGTGAGATCATTACAACAGAGTTACAGTTCCGCCGCATGTTACATGACCACCGGTTACCGCGAGCGGATCAGAACGCGGTGACATTCGTAGCTCGCGCTTATTCCGTCACAAACGAGACTCGGAAACTTACCTTGAAGATGACAGATGAAAACGACATGCCTGATGGCGAGAATGCCGGCATAGTTTCCGCAGCGCCCGGAGTGTAGCCATGGGTGCGTGATGTAAATAAGACTAAAAGAAAAACGGCTAAATCGCACGTGCGTCCCAAAACACACCGGGTGGAAATAAAGCAGAAAGGTGTGCACACTATCGGTTTCTAACCCCGTGCGTCACCGTGTGATCCGCGAGCGGAAACTACCGCCCTCCACCGCAACGCGCATGCTCCGTTTAACTACACGGTTTTAGCAGACAGGAGGCTTTTTACTCATAGTTTCACTTCTAATTGTTTAGAAAGTACCGAACAATTGTAACAACATTCGGTCCGTATAAATCAGGAGGTTTGCACGCAAGCACGCGGTTTATTTCTACGGATGCACCGCGGCACCCGCTGGGAACCAATCGAAGACATTTCCTGAGTCTCTACTTCTACGCCTACTTATATCTTTCGTCTGTAAAACCTCGAACTCGGAAGAGTGCTGATAAATGCTGTTTAATTGCCTTTGGGAACTAACTTTATAGTAGTAGTCATTCGTATTGCCTTCTAAAAGTTGTTTCCGAAGAAGAAAAGAACCGGATATGAGTTTCTTATTGTAAGTATTTTAGTCGGTGCAACCGTTTATTAACCTTTTCTTTCTTGCCATAATCGCGTATCACAGATGTATATCAGCAATCAGCTGTTTATTCCCAGAAGAAATAGTCATATGGAAGCACATCCAGCTAGAAATCAAGCGAATAACATCTGTTGTTCAGCTTTCAACATTTCCGGTTGGCTGTCTGTTCCTGTGTTGAGCATGAAAACTTCGACTCGGAGTGTTATGCATTTAAAAAATATATATTTAATTTTTTTTCCCTTTATTAATTTTTTTTTAAGTTCTTTGATATATTGTTTATAGTCAGTTGAACCAGGTTTTCCCAGTGGACTTGATTGGTGTGACACAATATGATTGCAGTGGAAGCCGTTCATCAAAGACATTCAAGCCCAAGAAGAATATCCCAGAAGGCTCTCATCAGTATGAGCTGCTGAAGCATGCAGAGGCCACCTTAGGAAGCGGAAACCTTCGAGCTGCTGTGATGCTACCTGAGGGAGAGGACCTTAACGAATGGATTGCTGTCAATAGTGAGTTTTCCATAGAACAATTCAAATCTACAATTGTACATGGAAACATAATACACCTATTCACATATGTGCATATAATTACATCTCCAGGCAGTCATATATCTAAGTGTGCATGTGTGCACTCGAGTAGTAAAAATAAAAAAGTTTTTTTAAATAACGTACTTTGTCATACACAAAAAGAGAGCTAGATAAATATTGTTAATAAATAGAAACTGTATGCTCTTTATTTCAGTTAAAATTGGTCATTTAAAATAATGATTTAAAATGTATTTAATATCAGTGTTTCGGTATCAAAAACGTGAGGTTTTGATGGTACATTGAAATTAGAAAAAACAATACCGATTCATTTGTTGTTACACGTTTTATCACCAATATACACGCTGCCAATCTTCAATTCAGGTGAGTTTGGGTGTGGGAGTATTTAGGATTGTTAATGAACTCATATGCATTTATTTCAGCTGTGGACTTTTTCAACCAGATCAACATGCTCTACGGCACAATCACTGAATTCTGCACAGAAACCAGCTGCTCTGTTATGTCTGCAGGGCCCAGGTAAAATAAAACTGCATTTTTCAATGCTTTAGTATTTTCACTTAACCTGTGTGCTGTGCTAAAAATCCTTTACCTATTTTGGTGTTTCTGGTTAAAAACGACCCACTTTTGAAAAATGTCTCATTATGCTATATTATCATCAAATATTGGATTTAGTGCCAACTTGATTTTCTTTCGATAAGCATGTTTCATATCACTTTTTGGAACTGACTGATCATCTGCCTCAATGATCTGAGCTTATGCACCTCTATAAATAATACCACAAATAATGCTTCTCATTCAAAAACTGAGGTGCATAAACTTAGATGAATGAATTGGACAATCAATCAGCTCCAAAAAAAAACACCTGTTCTAATTGAAGGAAAATAAGTACAAATCTAAAAAAGAAAAAAAAATCTAAAAACAATTATTTTTATTTTTTTTGGAAGTTATGAAGTCAAAGTCAGGAAAAAAAAAATCCTCTCCAGATGAATCTTGAAATTGAATAGGCTGAAAAAGTTGTTGCATACAGGATTATGCTTATGCCTTGCTCATTAAAACGGGAATGTTTATATACTGTTATTATAAAAAGTGGATATTCTGTCTGAAAATAAACTGCTTTCTAGGCCTGGGTGATAAAACGGTATCGATATTTATCGACGGTACACCTTCTTCGATAATGATATAAACCATTTTCGATATAGGCACGTGCTAAAAGTGACGCAGACAGCACACACAAACACGATCATGAGTGCTGTGCCTGCCTGTGACGAGGAGATTGTGAATAATAAAAAATGAATATTAGTCGAATTTAAAATAAACATCTGCATTTGAATGCAAAAATAGTACAATCCAATGTTAGATGTGCGTCATCAGTGGAGCACGAGATGCGGTTATGATGTAAGTGACGTTGTAGTTTAATGTTTTGTTAGTCTAGCCCACGAGATGTGCAGTTGCTGCGTTATTCATTCAAAATATTAGAGAAATATAGTAGCTCAATGCGTAGAAGATCTTGATTAGGTTAAAACCGAAACCAAGCCATTCACACAGAACGCATTTTTTAGACGGACAAATATGACTGCTGCACTCGCGTGTCACACAAGAGATGTATAGAAAGCCATGCAAAGTTAAAACAGTTTAAACTTTTAGAAAACGCGTCACGAATCTGTGGAGGTTTATTCCTTTTCACTGCGTCTCCTTATGTTTTTAAAGGCAATCTGTGCAATCGGCGCTTCGGCTCTTTGTATTAAGCAATGCATAAATATGTGATGCTGTTTTGTTCATAATTGTTTATGCAATTTATGAAATTATATTTGATTTATATGGGTTAATTTAGACGTAATGCACATTTTTTTATAGACCGTTATTTCCTTGCGTTGACAATTTAATGTGCTGCATTATTTTGCACTGGCCTCGGGAGACAAGACAAAAGTTTAACCTATTTAATCTGCATATAAAACATTAGAAATTAGATATTTAATTTTTATTTTGTGTTTGACTGTTAAAACAAAAAAATATTTGCTGTTTGTCTCAATAAATTGAGTTAATTTAAAAATACAGTGGTTAAATGTAAAAAAAAAATTCTATTGCTCTTTGTTTTAAAAAAGGTTATAAAAATGTCAATAATTATTGATACCGAACGATATGAAACATTATATCGCTGATACATTTTTTAGCTATATCGCCCAGCCCTACTGCTTTCTCCATGAATGAATAGGTATGAATATCACTGGGCGGATGGCACCAACATCAAAAAACCCATCAAGTGTTCTGCTCCCAAGTACATTGACTACTTGATGACCTGGGTTCAGGATCAGCTGGACGATGAAACTCTCTTCCCGTCTAAGATCGGTTTGTTATGAGTTGTTATGCAGTGTAACCTTTTCACGCAGGCTCTGTCGTAGAAATAACTTTTTCCTATCAACTTGTTACTCCGTCCAGGCGTTCCTTTCCCAAAGAACTTCACGTCAGTGGCGAAGACTATCCTGAAGCGTCTCTTCAGGGTTTATGCTCATATTTACCACCAACATTTTGACTCGGTCATGCAGCTTCAGGAGGAGGCTCATCTGAACACCTCCTTCAAGCATTTTATCTTCTTTGTACAGGTCAGTGCATTAATAACACGTCACGAGTGACGGTTTCTAAATAGTTTGGACAGTACTCTTCTTGAACTGATTGCAATTTTGTTTTTTTTAAGGAGTTCAATCTCATCGATCGCAGAGAGCTGGCGCCCCTGCAGGACCTTATCGAGAAACTAGGCAGCAAGGATAGATAGACACTGATATGAATACCATATCGGTCAGCCTTAATGCATTTTATAGAAAGCCTTGATTTCTTCCTGTCCACTTTTTGGATTGCTGATTGTCTTTGCAACGTCTCAGCTGTGCTTCCTTAAGCTCGTAGAAGGAGTCACCCTGAAAACTCGTGTTTGTTCTGTTGTCAGTATTACACTGTAGCCTTTATAAGCATGTCTTTGTGACGGATTGGGATATAAAACAAACATCAGAGTTGAGCTTTTATGGAAGTTAAAGTAAAACCAGCATTTTTAGTCAGTGCTTTTAAAATGTTTGAGTAAGATGTGTTTGGGGAAGGGATCGATATTACTTTTTTATTTTGATTATTATTGTTTTGTACAAGTTTGAAGGCAAATGTCATTTTTGATTTTTTTTTCCATTTCTATGTGAATGCATATTCAACCGTGAAGATTATTGTTACAAGACGTTTTTCAGTTGTAGGTCAATCCCAAGAGATTTATATTCAGACTTTTAAGCAGTATTTCATGAGTAATAATCGAAGCATCTGGTTCATCTTATTTTTTCCTTTTTTATTTCTAGTCACAATAATGACTTTCTACCATGTACACAATCATTTTCGTAAGCATTTCGTCTTGTTAATATTTAGGTTATAGCCAATGAATGTTAGTAAAAATTCCCAAATGTAATTTTAAATGACAAAATGGTTATTCGTTAATACTTTCTCAACGTTTTACTTTTACGAACTGAACTGTGTTTTGCATTATTTGTATTTTTAGACTTTTTACAAAAGGTGCACTTTTTTTCTTTTTTACATCTGTTTTTAAGTTGGTACTTTTCAAAGGGAAAAGGTGAAACTTTTATTTGGAAACTAAAACATTCCTCACCCGGAAGCACGGTTTTTGCTGAGATGCTTGGTGAAAAAAAAACAAACAACGGTCCTATAGATAAATGAATGATGTAAATATAATTTTTTAGGATACATAGGGATGAGTATGAGAGCGATACAATGCCTTTCTCGAGCTCTGTTCTTCATGTGTTACTCCACATGAGTAAAAGCAATGCAATAAAGATCGTCTCGATCGAAGGTACATTGGTATGTTTTGATTAATATAGTTTTTTCTCTCTTTTACATATTGTTCATGTTTATACTGGTTATATGAGGCACGTAATGTAGTTAAATAAAGTCATGTTCATCTAATTTGGCACATACCCATTAACAGCCTGGCTGTCAGAGTTAGTTTAGTGTTAAAGTTGATAAGGGTGTGTTTTGTGAACATCCGAAGCGGTCTGGAAGTCAACATTTCCCGGACTGGGAAGTGACAGCAGATGGCAAAATGTGGACCAAACGACTCCGTTCAGTGAAGTGATGTTTCACCCTCAAAATCAAGATTACTCTGGCTATGTCAAGCTCCAAGAAAGTACGTGAAATAAGTTCACTAAAGTCTATATGATATTTACATTTAGTCATTTACCGTGCACAAATGTTATGTTTATCTCAAGTCATTTTTATAGTATGGTTGATCATCGAAGGTCAGCAGCAAAGATAATGGTTAATAAAATTGAATTAAATACATAATGGATATTTGTGTTATTTAACATGTTTGCGTCATGTCAGTTTGCATTTGACTGTTTTTATACATTTTGAGGAATACTGAATCTGTTTTGGTGCGAGGTGAGTAAATGCATGTTAACATTTAGCCTAGAACTACTGTAGCATCATGTTCACACAACGCCTCTGATTTCTCTCAACATGAGGACACGAGAGCTGTCGGTCAATACATGGGAAACAAAGTAGCTGGTGTTACTTGAAAAAGTAACTCAGATATTTTGTTGTAAATAAGATGTAAGATACTTGACTACCTCGAGAAACTCCACACAAAACATGAAGACTGGCTCATCAGCAAGAGTACAAAGTAAGTCCTCTCACTTGTTAGTTATATTAGCATGTGCTTGCTCACCAAAGGATCCTCTGCAGTGAATGGGTGCCGTCAGCTGATAAAACATCAAAACAATCCACACCACTCGAGTCCATCAGTTAGCATCTGGAGAAGACAAAAGCTGTGTGTAAGAAACAAATCCATCAACACGTCTTTAAAAACGTTGCTTCTGGCCAAAACATGAGTAAATAATCCATAATAACGCTTCCTCCAGTGAAAAAGTCCATCTCCTGTTGTCTCTCACATCAAACTCCATATTACTTATGCTGATGATTCTAGATATTTAGTGTATAAATGAGTGCGGATGAGAGCAGTGTGTGTTTCTCTACACAGGGTTGACCCACATCACATAAGCAACATATTGAGTATATGTTTATTTCCCCCCTGATGTAGGTTAGACATTTTTTCAGTGCATTATAATGGCATCACGGGACCGAAGCACAAGGATTATTTTGTTTGGACCATTTCTTGACGGAGTGTTTAACCGCAGATCTAAATGTTCTTTGCTGCAGAAGACTGTCATCTCTAATGCAGTTTTCTTTACGTTCTCAGTGGAGATGAAGTTGGTCTGTGGTTAGTAATAGGGCACAGAAATATCACCAATAACTGGTTACTTTAACAGGAAAGGAAGGCATTTTGTTAGTCACTGCTGTGAAGATTTTTTGCACTGTTGGGTAATGAAAATTGTACTGTGATGTGTATATACTATAAATGTTGTGTTACAATATTTGTGACCCTGGAGCACAAAAGCAGTCTTAAGTCGCTGGGGTATATTTTAGACCGATATGGGTTTTTTGGGGCCAATACCGATATTAGGGAGTAAAAAACCGCTGATCTCGATATATCGGCCGATATTCTTTGTGTATATTATAGTACAGTACCAGTCAAAAGTTTGGACACTTTCCCATTCGTGTGTCCAAACATTTGACTGGTACTATATATAGAATACAGTATATACATAAACAGAATATACATACATAAACACATTTTTTGCAATTATCACTCAAATGTGGTGATCAAACACTTATAATGACGTGACAGATACGTAATGGAGGCAGGGTATATTTAACAATAAACTTTACAGACGAAACTTACTAGAGAAGTGTGAAGTGTGACATAATTTACCTCTGTAAATAAATACAATATAAATTCACGTCTCGCGCACTTTAATGCCCTTTGAATGTAACGTGTACGTTCCCTTGGAACTGGAATCATGGCGGAATTTCATGTGAAGTCCACTTCGCAGGGCACTTACGGTCGAATAAGACAACGCTTGAATGCTGCTGCCTGAACAAGAGACCTCCTTACTGAAGTGAAAGTGAACGCGCCCACGGATCTCCACCAAATTCGGGGGATCCCTTCAGCTCGAGGAGCCCTTTAGACTTTTCCATAGACATGAGCTTTGAAGCGTTTCATCCAGGTCGCCAGTAGCAAACAATAGAGCGTGCTCTGCTGGACAAACTAAGTAATTACACCATTTCAAGCATTTTATCTTCGTTATATGTTCTGTAAAAAAAAATTTCATATCGGCGGCATATTCGCCGATACCGATATATCGGCGACAGGCTCATATCGGCCGATAATATCGGCAGAACGATATATCAGTCAGGCTCTAGTATATTTGTAGCAATAGCCAAAAATACATTGTATAGGTCAAAATTATTGATTTTTCTTTTATGCCAAAAATCATTAGGATATTAAGTAAAGATCATGTTCCATTAAGATATTTTGTAAATTTCCTACTGTAAACATATCAAAATATATCATTTTTGATTAGTAATATACATTGCTAAGAACTTCATTTGGACAACTTTAAAGGTGATTTTCTCAATATTTAGATTTTTTTGCACCCTCAGATTCCAGATTTTCAAATAGTTGTATCTCGATCAAATATTGTACTACCCTAACAAACCATACATCAATGGAAAGCTAATTTATTCTGCTTTCAGATGGTGTATAAATCTCAATTTCGAAAAATTTACCCTTATGACTGGTTTTGTGCTCCAGGGTCACATTTAGTTTAAGACCTTACTGATAAACTGTTACTGTTTTGAATAATTTTTCAATAAATCTACATAACCTCATATTTGTAGTGAAATCCACTTGATTGAAACACAAAATTAAACACTGTAGTTCACTGGCTTTGACTGTTTTTTTTATTTTATTTTAAACTCTCTTTTATTTAAAGTGTTGGCTACAACACCAAAACATGTTGTTTGAATAAACATAACAAATTATATATAAATATATATATATATATATAAACAATTTCCCACCCAAAGCTCAAATGACACTGTAAAAAAGTATGCTATTCAACAAAATACTATCTGGGGATTTTGCATGTGCAGCACATTTAATAATGAGGTAACCTGGATCTGACGGGGTTCGACTGGATCAGTTTGCACTTTTAACTTTTTTCTTCTTTGTTTTAGCCATCTGAGGCAGTGGCACTTTAAAGGCAGTCCTGTAAATATAAGGGCAACTTGTTAAAGGTTGACTGAAAAATGATCTATCAGACACATTTCAGAACAAATATTAAAGAGACTCACTCGCATGTTGTGCAGATTGGACTGAAGTTACAGAATACTGGCAAAAGAAAGGGAGGAAAGTGTTATATAACATAATCCCTCTGCAATATAGGATCATTTGATATATTACAAGCTCATTAAAGAAGGTAATTTAGATTTCAAGCAAGTTCAAGGTCCTTCAAGGCCTGTTTCTTGTGTCTGCAGCATGTAAGTGACACGTTTAACGGTTTACAGTATTCAGACTGTAAACATGAGCAGTGCGTGTGAATGTTAATATGATCTCCCTCATTTAAAGATTTCTATTTCTAATAAATGCTGTCGTTTTGATTTTCTATTCTTCAAATAAACCTGAAAAAATATCAGTACTTACGGTCGAATAAGACAACGCTTGAATGCTGCTGCCTGAACAAGAGACCTCCTTACTGAAGTGAAAGTGAACGCGCCCACGGATCTCCACCAAATTCGGGGGATCCCTTCAGCTCGAGGAGCCCTTTAGACTTTTCCATAGACATGAGCTTTGAAGCGTTTCATCCAGGTCGCCAGTAGCAAACAATAGAGCGTGCTCTGCTGGACAAACTAAGTAATTACACCATTTCAAGCATTTTATCTTCGTTATATGTTCTGTAAAAAAAAATTTCATATCGGCGGCATATTCGCCGATACCGATATATCGGCGACAGGCTCATATCGGCCGATAATATCGGCAGAACGATATATCAGTCAGGCTCTAGTATATTTGTAGCAATAGCCAAAAATACATTGTATAGGTCAAAATTATTGATTTTTCTTTTATGCCAAAAATCATTAGGATATTAAGTAAAGATCATGTTCCATTAAGATATTTTGTAAATTTCCTACTGTAAACATATCAAAATATATCATTTTTGATTAGTAATATACATTGCTAAGAACTTCATTTGGACAACTTTAAAGGTGATTTTCTCAATATTTAGATTTTTTTGCACCCTCAGATTCCAGATTTTCAAATAGTTGTATCTCGATCAAATATTGTACTACCCTAACAAACCATACATCAATGGAAAGCTAATTTATTCTGCTTTCAGATGGTGTATAAATCTCAATTTCGAAAAATTTACCCTTATGACTGGTTTTGTGCTCCAGGGTCACATTTAGTTTAAGACCTTACTGATAAACTGTTACTGTTTTGAATAATTTTTCAATAAATCTACATAACCTCATATTTGTAGTGAAATCCACTTGATTGAAACACAAAATTAAACACTGTAGTTCACTGGCTTTGACTGTTTTTTTTATTTTATTTTAAACTCTCTTTTATTTAAAGTGTTGGCTACAACACCAAAACATGTTGTTTGAATAAACATAACAAATTATATATAAATATATATATATATATATAAACAATTTCCCACCCAAAGCTCAAATGACACTGTAAAAAAGTATGCTATTCAACAAAATACTATCTGGGGATTTTGCATGTGCAGCACATTTAATAATGAGGTAACCTGGATCTGACGGGGTTCGACTGGATCAGTTTGCACTTTTAACTTTTTTCTTCTTTGTTTTAGCCATCTGAGGCAGTGGCACTTTAAAGGCAGTCCTGTAAATATAAGGGCAACTTGTTAAAGGTTGACTGAAAAATGATCTATCAGACACATTTCAGAACAAATATTAAAGAGACTCACTCGCATGTTGTGCAGATTGGACTGAAGTTACAGAATACTGGCAAAAGAAAGGGAGGAAAGTGTTATATAACATAATCCCTCTGCAATATAGGATCATTTGATATATTACAAGCTCATTAAAGAAGGTAATTTAGATTTCAAGCAAGTTCAAGGTCCTTCAAGGCCTGTTTCTTGTGTCTGCAGCATGTAAGTGACACGTTTAACGGTTTACAGTATTCAGACTGTAAACATGAGCAGTGCGTGTGAATGTTAATATGATCTCCCTCATTTAAAGATTTCTATTTCTAATAAATGCTGTCGTTTTGATTTTCTATTCTTCAAATAAACCTGAAAAAATATCAGTTTCCACAGAAATATGAAGCAATGTTTACAACATTGATAATAATCAGAAATGTTTCTTGAGCAGCAAATATTAGAATGATTTCTGAAGAATCATGTGACGCTGAAGACTGGAGGAATGGTGCTGAAAATTCAGCTTTGATCACAAAAATAAATTACATTTTACAATATATTCACATAGAAAACAGCTATTTTAAATTGTAATAATATTTCACAATATTACTGGTTTTACTGTATTTTTGATCAAATAATTGCAGCCTTGGTGAGCAGAAGAGACTTCTTTGAAAAACATTAAAAAATCTTACGGTTGTGTTCACAAATTCGACACGTGTCTGTGGTGACGCTCACACAAAATGTAAACATTTCTCCAAATTTGACAAGCAAAAAAGGTTAGATGGAAACATACTTGACAAACACACTGAACAGACGTAGCCAATTTCAATCAACCTGCATAATAAACATCAAATCTTTAAATTAGTTACTTCTGTCCATGAGATTCCTGATCTCTTCTGCAAAGAAATCATTGGTAACTGAGAGAAGTTCATATTTGCCATCGCTATCTGCAGATATTTCATCCCCTGATCTCCACTGCTTACTCGGATATAGAAAGTGGCTTGAAAAGAGACATTGCGGTATAGTTTTAGTGTGTGTTTGTTATAGACACATTATATTAATATGAGAATATACATTGTTTTGATAGAGATTTGCAATGACGGCTAGTTTGTTGGTTCTTGACATCACTAAATGGGCATTTGTCAGGACCATCAAAGAGTCCAGGCATGTTGAAAGAGTGAACTGAAAGAATAGAAAAGCAAAAACATTTTAATGGGCAATGAAGATAATCTTATGGATTAGCGTCAAAATTACATTACATAAAAATGAAGGTACCTGAGGTTCCCGTTGAGCTTGCTGGCCCCACCAAATAGGGTTGACATCTGCCACAATGACCAGAATATTAATCTCGTCGTCTGCAAACATTAGTGATTTTCACAGATATCACTTCTACTTTCAGAGCATCACAACTCTCCATTCAAACACATATAAGAAACAAATAACAAGTCGATGCACAATTCTTTACTTTTTTAATATATTTTAAAAACATGGTCAACATGATTTACAAACCAGAGGCCATTGTTGCGATTCCTTTATCTCTAAATCGCTGTGTAAAGTATATCGTTGGTATGTTTGTTTTTCCATTATGTTATTATGAGTTGTGCCGAGCTCTTCTTCTGCGGTTTCACTGAAGGGTTTGCGAACCAACTAAACAAGTGCACACCGCCACCTACTGTGCTTCTTCTTCTTCTTCTTGGTGTTTAATGGCGGATGGCATACAACTTTTAGGTGCATTACCGCCACCTACTGATTAGGAGTGTGGATCAGGACCGTACTCTTCACTAAATTCTATTATATAATCCCGTGTCCTTTAAATAACGCATTAAAAATTGAAAGTTTTTATCCCCTGATTTATTCCCCAAAATGTTCATCAAATTAAGTTTTTCCTGTTGCTTGATTAAACACTTAATTTCACTCTTACCATACTTTATCTGCATATCTATGTCTACTTTCTGTGTTGCTTCCTTTGCATATTCATCTGCTAACTCATTCCCTTGTACTCCCACATGCGCTGGTACCCAACAGAAAGCTACAGAAATTCCCATCATCTGGATCCTATATATTGTTCGAAGAATCTCAATCATTATATCTGCTCTCTCTCTGAATGACATTTTTAATTGTAATTAAAGATGAGCTTGGATCAGAACATATGAGTGTCCGCATTGGCTTATGTTCCTCCACCCATTGCAATGCCAGTAAAATTGCAATAATTTCACCATTTGTTTAAATTGACAAATTATCTGTGATTCTTTTACTGACTTTGACATTAAATTCTGGGATACTGAATGCCACACCTACTTTGTCTTCCATATTTTTCGATGCATCAGAATATATTTGAACATAACCATAATAATTTTCATGAATGTACTTATGTGCTATTTGAACATTTGATTTGAACTTATCCTTATTTTCCTCACTTAACAATGTCATATCTACCGTAGGTTGAGATATTAACCAGAGGGATTGTTGACCACGGAACTGTAGGGCTTATTGGAGTTTCACCAGTTTCCATTTCTTTTACCACTCTAGGCACTTCCCATCCAAAACTTTTGATTTCTTTCTTCCCTTTTTCCCAGAAAGGTTTTAGAACTACCCTAGCTGGGTGTTCTTGACTATGTCCTAATATATTGACCCAATATCTTAGTGACAGTTCAATTCTTCTAAGATCTAAAGGCATTTCTCCCATTTCAATCTGCAAGGCTGCAGTTGGTGTAGATCTCATCGCCCCCGTACATAATCTTAATGCCTTGTACTGGATTTTGTCCACCTCTTTTAACACACTATTAGCAGCAGATTGATACACTATACTCCCATAATCAAATACAGATCGTATCAAACCCGTATATATACTTCTTAGAGCCATCCTCTCAGCCCCCCATTCTTTCCCCACTAAACATCTCATAACATTCATTACCCTTTTACATTTATCAACTATTTTTTTATGTGTATTTTAAACGTGAGTTTTTCATCAAACCATATACCCAAAAATTTAAAACATGATACTCTTTCTATATCTTGACCATATAATTTCAATTTTACCTCTTTACTAATCCTACATTTTGAAAAGAATACATTTTTAGTTTTTTCAACAGAGAATCTAAAACCCCACTTATATGACCACCTTTAACAGACCACCAGCTCTGTTATTGCTTCTTGCACTTTCCTTACAACAAACTTTAAATTCCTCCCTCGTTTCAAGATTGCACCATCATCTGCATAAAGAGAAATTCCTATTCCTTTTTCAACACTTAAAAACACAAACAAAACAAAACACAGATTCAGTATTCCTCAAAATGAATAAAAATAATGCAACTCAGAATATGACGCAAACCTGCAATAATTAAATGTTAAACAACACAAATATGCTTCATGTATTTAATCCCATTCTATTAACCAATGTCTTTGCTTCTGAGCTTCGATGATCCAGTTCAACCGTACTAATAAGCACAAATTACTCTAGATGAACATTTGTGTGTTTTTTTATTGCTGAAGTGTGTTGATATTTCTTCTTCTGCATTCTACAGTACGGACGTAAATTTACTTTCCCTTCAGCCTGAGGCTTATTCATTTCACTTTTGGTGTGAAAAGGCTTTTATATTTGCCAAAAATAGAACTTTTTTTATTTTTAAAAACAAACAAGCAAGCCCTGTCCAGATTTAAAAAGTAACGCAAAAGTAACGTAACACATTACTTTTCATACAATGTAACTATGTAACGTAATTAGTTACTTTTTTAATGGAGTAACGCAATATTGTAATACATTACTTTTAAAAGTAACTTTCCCCAACACTGAGTAGCTTAGAGTAAAAATAAAAATAACTTATTCATGCTATTTTGCTCTAGTCCTGCAGGTGGCGGTAAACACAACAGCGGGCCCGCCCGTCAATACTGAAGAAGAAGAAGAAGAAGCTAGTGTAAGCACACTTGTTTACTGTATAGCGCTAATAATTTGAAAGAAATCAATACAACAAAAATTTGTCAGACAAAGTCGCTAATTTGAAAGGAGGTAGTAAAATAGCCCTTATTCTGGTGACAAAGTCAAAATATTCCAGAGAACATTGCATGTTTGAGCAGTTTGATATGGAAGAAGCAGGTGAGTTTCGAGAAAGACACAACGCAAAGTAATAATGGGACAGACCGTTTGCTTGTAGCTGTGCTCTCTTGATCATCTTCCAGATTATGAAAATCATTAGATTTCCCTCTATCTATTTGATCAGTTATACGACGGGCTAAAATGTGAGCACAGGTGCATTATGGGTGACATTCAGAGAAACTGATCGAAATGTTATGTAAGCTACTTTTTCCATCTTTTCCTTTATTAATGTCAATATATTCATTTGTTTTATTTATCTTTTAATACTTGACTGTAATTGTTAATTCTTTTATCGACATAAAATACGTTTCAATTATTATCAAACATATTTACATTATTAATTAGGCTCTAGGTTATAAATAACATGATACCACTTTACAGTAAGGTCTCATTTCTTAACATTAGTTGATGCATTAGCTAATATGAACTAACAATTTTTTGTTTTATCTTATTTCACACTTCACTGTGTCAACAAATGTTAAAAGATGCACAACTTTTGATTTTGAGAATGGGTAAATGTTGAAATTAAGATAAGGTGCTATTTATGACTGTTATAGAAGAACTGTTAATTGTTAGTTTGTGTAAACTGATGTAGGAAACTAATGGCAACAAGTTAAACCTTACTGTAAAGTGTTACAGAAAGTAGTATTGGTAATATGCTTTGTCTTCACATTCTCACGATGGGAGTTTAATGTTGTTTACCTGCAGGCTCCATATGGCCAAGCACTAAGATGTATCTATTTATTTATGTTTTCCTCTCAGAGCTGGTGGAATATTTCCGAGCGCAGATCCGAGAAGACCCGGATGTGGCTTCGGCGGTGGCTGCTATACGATCCCTGCTGGAATTCCTCAAGAGGGATCAGAGTGAGTTTAGTCTCATGTTCAGGGATGTGAGATGCGCATGTTAACCGACGCTTGTCCTTCTCTAGGCGAGACGATCCTCGGCCTGCGAGAGAACATGACGAAGGCCATCCATAGACTAGAAGAGACGGATTCATCGGTGGCTGTGTCGTCTGGAGGAGAGCTCTTCCTGCGCTTCATCAGCCTCACCTCACTGGAACATCCGGTCGGTTCAGCATCGCAGGCAGTCTAGTTGCTCTTTTTAATATTACGGCTGTTTGGTGAATTAAGATTGCGTCGTACATTCCAAGTAGGGCTGCACGATATTGGAAAAAAAGTCGCATTGCGATATTTTATTTTTCTGCGATATGGAAAAAAAAAATCTGATAATTTCAATAGCTTTTGTTTCAAATGATTTTGTAGGCGAGTAAATCAGCATAGGAAATAAACAGATTGCAAGCATAGATAAATAACAGAACAAAGATACAAATGAAATAAGCAGTGCTTTATATTTTTCAGGTAAGTCTTAACAGTATTCAGGTACAGAAATTGACTAATCAAATGTAAAATAACACTGCGTAGTTTTCACTATAAATTAAATCTTAACAAATCCGTGTTAAAGCTACAGAAGTGATTTTTCTTTGTGTTTTGTTGTTTGATTAACGTTCATCAACAGAGAAAGCAACAGGAACATTAAACTGCTGTGAACCGATATACTGTTACACATCCATTTTCTTTCTAAATTGTTTCCCTTCCACCTAAGCCATAAGCAACTGCGTTTACAAGGATACTTGCAGAGCACAGTATTTCAGGCACAAATAGATGCAGAAGTGAACAGAATTCAGTGTTCACGTGTATCTGCGGGTCTACACCAGACGCGAGCGGCACGACAAAATACAATAGAACCCATTATAATCAGTGATGCTGTCAGTCTACACTGGATGCGGCGCGGCGCGACAAAATACAATAGACCCCATTATAATCAGTGATGCTGTCAGTCTACACTGGATGCGGCGCGGCGCGACAAAATACAATAGACCCCATTATAATCAGTGATGCTGTCAGTCTACACTGGATGCGGCGCGGCGCGACAAAATACAATAGACCCCATTATAATCAGTGATGCTGTCAGTCTACACTGGATGCGGCGCGGCGCGACAAAATACAATAGACCCCATTATAATCAGTGATGCTGTCAGTCTACACTGGATGCGGCGCGGCGCGACAAAATACAATAGACCCCATTATAATCAGTGATGCTGTCAGTCTACACTGGATGCGGCGCGGCGCGACAAAATACAATAGACCCCATTATAATCAGTGATGCTGTCAGTCTACACTGGATGCGGCGCGGCGCGACAAAATACAATAGACCCCATTATAATCAGTGATGCTGTCAGTCTACACTGGATGCGGCGCGGCGCGACAAAATACAATAGACCCCATTATAATCAGTGATGCTGTCAGTCTACACTGGATGCGGCGCGGCGCGACAAAATACAATAGACCCCATTATAATCAGTGATGCTGTCAGTCTACACTGGATGCGGCGCGGCGCGACAAAATACAATAGACCCCATTATAATCAGTGATGCTGTCAGTCTACACTGGATGCGGCGCGGCGCGACAAAATACAATAGACCCCATTATAATCAGTGATGCTGTCAGTCTACACTGGATGCGGCGCGGCGCGACAAAATACAATAGACCCCATTATAATCAGTGATGCTGTCAGTCTACACTGGATGCGGCGCGGCGCGACAAAATACAATAGACCCCATTATAATCAGTGATGCTGTCAGTCTACACTGGATGCGGCGCGGCGCGACAAAATACAATAGACCCCATTATAATCAGTGATGCTGTCAGTCTACACTGGATGCGGCGCGGCGCGACAAAATACAATAGACCCCATTATAATCAGTGATGCTGTCAGTCTACACTGGATGCGGCGCGGCGCGACAAAATACAATAGACCCCATTATAATCAGTGATGCTGTCAGTCTACACTGGATGCGGCGCGGCGCGACAAAATACAATAGACCCCATTATAATCAGTGATGCTGTCAGTCTACACTGGATGCGGCGCGGCGCGACAAAATACAATAGACCCCATTATAATCAGTGATGCTGTCAGTCTACACTGGATGCGGCGCGGCGCGACAAAATACAATAGACCCCATTATAATCAGTGATGCTGTCAGTCTACACTGGATGCGGCGCGGCGCGACAAAATACAATAGACCCCATTATAATCAGTGATGCTGTCAGTCTACACTGGATGCGGCGCGGCGCGACAAAATACAATAGACCCCATTATAATCAGTGATGCTGTCAGTCTACACTGGATGCGGCGCGGCGCGACAAAATACAATAGACCCCATTATAATCAGTGATGCTGTCAGTCTACACTGGATGCGGCGCGGCGCGACAAAATACAATAGACCCCATTATAATCAGTGATGCTGTCAGTCTACACTGGATGCGGCGCGGCGCGACAAAATACAATAGACCCCATTATAATCAGTGATGCTGTCAGTCTACACTGGATGCGGCGCGGCGCGACAAAATACAATAGACCCCATTATAATCAGTGATGCTGTCAGTCTACACTGGATGCGGCGCGGCGCGACAAAATACAATAGACCCCATTATAATCAGTGATGCTGTCAGTCTACACTGGATGCGGCGCGGCGCGACAAAATACAATAGACCCCATTATAATCAGTGATGCTGTCAGTCTACACTGGATGCGGCGCGGCGCGACAAAATACAATAGACCCCATTATAATCAGTGATGCTGTCAGTCTACACTGGATGCGGCGCGGCGCGACAAAATACAATAGACCCCATTATAATCAGTGATGCTGTCAGTCTACACTGGATGCGGCGCGGCGCGACAAAATACAATAGACCCCATTATAATCAGTGATGCTGTCAGTCTACACTGGATGCGGCGCGGCGCGACAAAATACAATAGACCCCATTATAATCAGTGATGCTGTCAGTCTACACTGGATGCGGTGCTGCATGACAAATCCTCGACAGTAAACTGATGCCGCGTTCTCTTTATGACGTACTGACACAAAGTTCAAATGATATGCAATGGTCGCTTTGTCGCGTCAAGTGTAGACAAACTTTAGGGCCGTTCACATGACGCGCCTTAAAACGCGTGGGAAAACGCCAGTCGCGCCACTTTCTCCTTCTTTCCAAAGCGCTCGGGAGCTTGCGCTTTCGTAGTGTCTGCTGTTGCTAAGCGACCATGACCTGCGCTCTCCACGACGACGCGGAAGTTTCAACAAAGGATAAACGGATTTCCAGCACTGAAAATCACGTGCAGTAGCTCTGCTACTAAATGTAAATGCTACTCGTCTGTACAGCTGTCGCGTCTGGTGTAGACACCGTGTCTGTGTGTGAGCAAAGAAAACAATCAGTATAAATATATTTCTAAGCAACCATGACCTGCGCTCTCCAGAGGACGCGGAACTGTCAACAAAGGACAAACGGATTTCCAGCACTGAAAATCACGTGCAGTAGCTCTGCTACTAAATGTAAATGCTACTCGTCTGTACAGCTGTCGCGTCCGGTGTAGACACCGTGTCTGTGTGTGAGCAAAGAAAACAATCAGTATAAATATAACGATCAGTAGCCTATACTAAACATCGCACATCCTGCGATGTGACTATCGCGGATGCGCACATCGCCATATCGATGCTGAAACGATATATCGTGCAGCCCTAATTCCAAGGTTCAGATCTCACTAAAATGTGGGAGAAATGCAGTCAGAAAATGCTACTTCTCTCCTCTAAAGTAGAGTTTGCCGCACATTAGTTTTAAACGTTTATGGATTTAGCGAACGTTTTTATCCAAAGCACCATACAAAAGAAGAACAAAAGCAATTTGAATATTTGAATATTCAATGCTAGGTTTATAGACCGCTACACTAGAGAATTTTATTTATACTATTTAGTTATATTGTTTATATGAATAATTAGAATTTGTTTTGATTATTTTCCAATTTCATTTTAATTTCAGTTAAAGTTTTAGTAATTCGGTTGTGTGTTTTTGTCATTTTAATTAATTTTCTTTTTTAAATGTCTATATGTTTTTAGTTATTTTTATTGTAGTATATCAATTTAAACCAAATTAAAAATGAGAAATGTTACCTTGGAAGTAGCTGAAATAAAATAATTGTTTTATATATATTTTATTTTATTTCTGTTAATGTTTATTACAACTAATTTGAAATCAACATTATTTCAATATTTCAATAATGTATTATTTTTAATAATTTATTTATTAATTTTTAATAATTTATTATTTCAATAATTTAAATTATTTATTTTCAACAATTTCAATATTTCAACATCGAAAATGGTTTTAGTTTTAGTTAACTATAATAATCCTGGTGTCACATTTCAATTGCATTGCCGTTCAAGAGAATCAATAATTACATTTTTTCAATAAATACCCACTGTTTTATTTATGCTCTTAAATAACTGTTATTTTTTTTATACGATGTTTTTATGCACAATTGTCACTTTTGTGTGGTTGATCTTGTTATGGTGATGGTCGCTGTCTCTCTCTTTTTCACAGGATCTCTCACAGTGTAAAAATGTGATGATAGAGCGAGGTGAGCTCTTCTTGAAGAAAATATCCCTGTCCAGGGGCAAAGTGGGTAAACTGTGCCACACCTTCATCAAAGATGGAGCTGTAAGTGCAGTACTAGAGGAATCAGGGCATGTCCTTTTGTCATTATTTTGGAAACGCTCTACTCATATCTGCCTTCCATCTGCAGAAAATCCTGACACACTCATCGTCCCGAGTGGTTTTAAAGGTTCTGGAAAATGCAGCAGCTGATAACAAACGTTTTACAGTATATGTCACCGAATCACAGCCGGATTCAGCAGGGTGAGTCTTCAGTGCACTGCTCGAGTGTCTCTTGCTGTCTACTCTTCTGCCCTACAAAGACAACATGCAGTAATACTGGAACAAAGTACAACGGCTTCAGAGTAATTTTTCAGTTTTGCATACATTTTCTCAGAAACTAGTAGTTTTCCATTAATGCACGACTACAGAGGAAAACCTTCAAGAGTCATTATTACATGGCATTTGTTTTATAATATTGGGTTGACTAAAATAGGAAGAAGAAAAAAATATAAATTTCAAGGTCTCCATTTAATTCAGTGAGGTTTTTTTCCATCAAGAACTATCAAACTGTCTACTAGGAAAGTAACACAAAACCGTATCCTAGAATAAAATCTATGCATTAATCGAATCAAAATTTGATTTAAAATCAAGAATCAGTTTTTAATCAAATCGTGAACTCGAGAATCAATTTGAGTCGAATCGTGAGGTACCAAAAGATTCCCACCCCTAATAGACATGTTAAAAGTATGTATTCGTTCATTGTTTATATAGTATTTATTGTTTTATGTTAGTCTTTTATGAATGTTTTCTTTCCCCTCTTGCCCCTTAGTAAACATATGGCTCAAAAATTAGGCAAACTCAATATCCCCGTCATGGTGGTGCTTGACGCTGCAGTCGGGTAAGTGTTGTCGTTTTGTTACAGTAATGAACCTCTTAATTGCTTTAATTCTCGTACTACTCAAATCAGTTCTCAGAATCAATAGTTAGTCGTTCCAAAAACTATTAATCAGAAATATCAGCAATATAAATATATGTGAGCCTAGAGCACAAAAGCAGTCTTAAGTCGCTGGGGGCAAAAGGAGCCCCTACCAAGTATTGAGTACATGTACAGTAAATGAATATACTTTCCAGAAGGCCAACAATTCACTAAAAATGTTTTTTTTTATTGGTCTTATGAAGTATTCTAATTTGTTGAGATAGTGAATTGGTGGGTTTTTGTTAAATGTGAGCCAAAATCATCACAATTAAAAGAACCAAAGACTTAAACTACTTCAGTCTGTGTGCACTGAATTTATTTAATACACGAGTTTCACAATTTGAGTTGAATTACTGAAATAAATGAACTTTTCCACGACATTCTAATTTATTGAGATGCACCTGTAGTTGTATCTCGGCCCAATATTGTCCTATAATTGACCCTTATGACTGGTTTTGTGCTCCAGGGTCACAGTTGGTAACACTTTAGAATAGGGAACACATATTCACTATTAACTAAGAGTTTTCCCTCAATAAATCCTGATTTGCTGCTTATTAATACTTAGTTAGGTAGTTGTTAAGTTTAGGTATGGGGTGGATTAAGGGATCTAAAATATGCTCATATAGAATAAGACATCAATACTGTATGTGCTTTAGAAGTACTCATAAACAGACAATATACTAGTAATATGCATGCTAATAAGCAGCTAGTTAATAGTGTGAATTTATCCTTGAAAATAAAGTGTTACCAAACATTTCTGTTCTCTTGATGGACTGCTTTAATTAAGGTGAGCTTCAACACCAATCTTAGGATATCGTATTGTGGCCATAAGATTAAAGTGACTGAAGTTCTTGCTGCGGATAAACATCTGCTGCTTATGTTGTGTGATGTTTAGGTACATCATGGAGAAGGTTGACCTGGTAATTGTGGGTGCTGAGGGCGTTGTGGAAAGTGGAGGTGTAATAAACAAGGTCTGAAACACACATACTTTTGCATTCTTGATGTTTGCAGTTGTATCTAAGGCAAGACACCACAGCCGTTTTGATTTTTTATAGTAATAAAAATAATTTAGTTCAGTGAAAGAACAGACACTACAATTAAAAACTGAAAGCGGCTGCTCAATGCAGTTGAACAACAGTCGCATCACAGATCAGATTTAATTTCTCCAGTGAGGAGAGTG